CAGTATTGCCATTACTGTAGGCACCAGTTAAAATTCCAGACACAAGAAATTATTGAAATAGAACAAGGCAGGAAAGAAAAGACTCAGATATTTGAGGGGAGGGAGGGATTTCTGTTGGGGTTTTTTTGTTGGTTGGATTTTTTGGTGTTTTGGGTTTTTTGAGGGGGAGGGATTGTGTTTTGGGGTTTCTTTTGTGTTTGTTAGCATTTTTTAAATTTTGGGTTGGATTTTGCTGTAGAGATCCCCAGCTGCCTTTCAAACATTAGGTCCATTGCTTTAGTAAATATCCAAGGCAATTTTCTCCTCAAAGGAAAAGTGGTCGGTGGCCAAACCACTGAGAAAAAAAGTTCATTTAGGAGCCAGGAAGGCAAGACCAAAAGCTGGTCGTGAAAAAATTACATCTGCAGCAGCAACCTGGCTGTTTATTTCCCAGCACCAGCAAATGCTGGAGCTGAAGCCACACAAAAGAATAATACAGTAAATCCAGACAAGAGATACAGAGCTCTGGAGAAGCTCAAAGCTTTCTGAAATAGCTGGTCCTGCACAATACATGAAACACCAGATGATCTTGCCTTTTATATAAAGAATTACTAGAGACAGAAATCAAAAAGGTAAAAAGAGGTGTGGGTATAAAAGTTCATAAACAATGCTGGAAAAAAGCGTTTCCAAAGGGTCACCAAATTATACAATTATTAATGAGCCTGTGGTTGGATTCCAAAAGCAGGGGAAAAAAATATTACTCAGTAGGGCCATAAATATGAAAGTAGTTTGAAAAAATGACCACACACGCAAAAAAAAAAAAAAAAAAAGGCAGAAAGATGACCTTTTTTTGCAACTGAAATTTGCTGCCTGTAGCTTTTTATTAGTTACAGCAAGTGAAATAAAAGCCAGACAAGTCTAATATAACTCTATTATCTCCTGCTACACCAGGGTGAAAAGTAATAACTGCTATTTTTAAAAACCACCTGTTGGCATCTGTTTTGCCCAGTGGATAACACAATCACTCAATAAACCTCTGGAAAGCAGCCACTGAAGCAGAGTTTGCCAGGGGCACCCTCCTGACCTGCAGCCACTCCTTGCTAAATGAAGACAATGTGACAATGACAGACAAAAAGAAGAAAAAAAAAAAAAAAAGGCATTTTCAGTTTAGGGATCTGATTTCCAGAAAGAAAACCTTAAAGTTGGGCCAAGAAAGTCACACTGGAGAAGTATTTCACAGCCTTGCCTTCACCACCTGCCGAGCTTGGTCTGACAGGAACTTTGGCTTTCCCTGCAGCATCTGCCCAGGAGCTGCTCCCTCCCCATCACCCTGATTCCTCCTTTTGGTGCTGCACTTGCAGGGAAGGAGGAGAAAACAGGAAGGTGGAAGGGGAGGTTTAACCTGTGAAAGGGGACCAACAGTTTCAATGAATAGCCTGGAAATAAACTGAGTATCACCTGATTGTAATTGCTGCTCTAAGATTTTCAAGACTGAAATAAACTTATCACTTACCTTCTGTGGCTGCATTTTAAACGTGCTGCTTCCCTCCTTTGGGGATCCACACTTTTCCTTTTCTTCCAAATCGTTACAACCAAGCCAGAAAGCCATTTTAAATCTCAAAACAAAAAAAGCAAACCAAACCAAAAACGCTGTGGCTGCATTTTAAACGTGCTGCTTCCCTCCTTTGGGGATCCACACTTTTCCTTTTCTTCCAAATCGTTACAAGTAAGCCAGAAAGCCATTTTAAATCCCAAAACAAAAAAAAAGCAAACCAAACAAAAAACAACCAAAACCAACAAAAACAAAACAAACCCCACAAAAATCCCCAAAACAACAGCAACAAAAAAAAAAACCCCAAACAAACAACAAAACCCCACACTAATAGCAAGTTAAACACAAAAAGAATTTCTAAAATTTATTTAAAAACTCCCAACTTTAACAACTAAAACGTAAAAGCCCTATTTCAGCTACATTTGCATGTTTTCTGGTTTTGTTCAGCCAGAGCAGATGGAACCGATGGATGAGGTGCCAGCTCTAATCCCCCAAAATGTGCCTATGATTTCCACCTGGATGTTAAATTTTACCCTTTCCAGTCTTTTCCCTTTTAATTGGTCGTTCCACACCCAACTCATTACAACTTAATTTGTTCAGCTGGGCTGAGGAGGCAGGAGAACAGGGCAGAGTTCCCTCTTACAGGAGGCTGGGAGCCTTCTAATATTTAATTCTTTAGAACAGGCTGTATTTGTGCAGTTATGTTACTGTTAAAATTTACAAGAAATCACTCAAGTTATCACTTGAGTTGTGAGGATGCACTTTGGTAGGAGGGTTTAATTAACCACACATAATAAATACTTGTCAGAAACCAGGCATGTTTCAAGAGCTGGATGTTGTCTTCTGATTAAAGGAGCAAGATACAAGAGGAAGGAAAGCACTTTGCACATGGACAGTAAATTTTGGCTGCATATTCTGCCAAGCTCTGGCCGTGCTTAGGGAAGGCAGGATTCAGATCTGCAAAGTTTGTACTGTCCTTCCACAGAACAGAACTTCAACAAGTCCAAACCCACCGGTCTGCTTCTGAAAAATTTAATTTCAGGTTTTTAAGGTGTTTCTTTTCCCCTGGAATCACCAGGAGTGGACAAGATGCTCTTTGCCTGTGAGGTAACTGTGAGATCCCAGCTCCACAAAGCAATGACAACACAGCCCTAACTTGGGCAAGGGGGTGTGGAGTTGGAAAAGAATTTGAATCAGCTTGGGAAATGAACAGATATTGACTTTGCAATTTAATCTTTCAGTACTCCAGCCTTTGGAGAGGTGAGAACACAGCTCTGCTGAACCCCACTGTGAATACTCCCGTATTAAAGCTGTCACTTTTTAAGCAAAATGCTTTTGCCTTGAGTGTCTGCAAACACCTCAGCAGCACCCACCTCCTGGTTTTGTTTTGCTATTCTCCTATTCCTACAGAAGCCTTTTTAACACCTTTCCCCCATCCTTATTCTTCCCCATTCTTATCTTTCCCCCTCCTTATCTTCAGTGTTTAAGTAGAAACTGAACAATTTACTATCAGAATTCCCAACTCAAAAATATCAGTGGGTTAGTATCAGCCTCATTAAAGAATTTTGTCACTGCTTGGATCTGTGGGTATCAGTTTTTTTACCCTGAACTCATTAATGAATGGTTCAAATAAACACCAAAGTTGTGATTGATTATTCTGAGAAATAAATAAATAATTATAAAAACCCCCAAACCCTACTTTTTTTGTAAGCTATTATTATTTTCCTTCTCCCCAGCAATTAAATTTTTAGTTGTACTTTCAGAATACAATTTTGAGCAGCAAAGTGATCATCCAAACCAAAGCCATTTCCCATTGAAGAGTCTGTGATTGTCCTCATTTTCTGTCTCTGGAGCCAGCTGCACCAAAAACCATCTCAGATTATTTGCTCAGACACTCAACATCAACACTCTGGGCCAGGTTTCTTGATGTATAATAAATGCCTCTCTCTGGCTGCAGTGTCTCTGAACTGGCAGACTGCATTTTAATGAAACCAAATGATAAATAATTTGCAACATAGCACTAATAATTTTTACACTGCAATCAAGTATTTTGTGTTGTCATTTTCCCTAATTATTCCCCCTGCATCAATTCTATGTATACGTGTGTATATAAACACACCCACACACCATTAAACTGAATTTTTTGAGAAGTACTTTAGAAATTGACCCAAGTTAGGCAATTTTAGACACTGTTGGTCAATATGTTTAATTTACAGGCTGCCTTTATTGTGAAGCACATTGTGAGCCAATCAAAACTCTAATTAGGACCTGTCTTTACTGAAGCCAAGCTGAAAGACCATTTTCCACACTTTTCACTGACAGAATAAATAAATCCATTATCATAGAACTGAAACAATTTAGACTTTTTTTAAGGATCACATCAGGAACTGCAAAGAAATGAGCCCATTTTAAAAATTCAGCTCTGCCAAGAGAGTCCCATGAGAATATTCACCAGGAGCTTCCCTCAGGTTGTAGAACCACCAGTGGAATGTGAGCACACAGCTGGGGAGAGAAAGTGCCCGTGGGACTGACTGAGCTCCAGAGATTACAACTTTCAGATGCTTCACTGAACTGAAGACAATTTATGCATCCCTGCAGACTCAATTTTAAGCTTTTGGTTTTTTTGTTGTTGATCACGGAAAGCCAAAATTCTTCACATAAAACAATGAGAGGAGTAATCAGCACTAGTTGTGCTGCAGGATTTTCTCCAACTGGAAGTTCCTCATCTAGACAACCCAAATGCCAAAAAAATTCCTTATTTCCAAAGGTCCTGGCCTTTTGCAAAAGAATCTTTAAACAGTTACTGAATACTCTGTGCTGCTAATCAAACATCCCAGTTAATTAATACAAGGCTGGTGTTCAAAGACAAATGCACCAAGAATCTCTGTATATTGACCTGCAAACACAATTTTACCATTTCCTCGTTGCCAAGGATGGTCAAACACAGGTTTCAAAGTTATACAAAGTTATAGCTTCACTGCTGACTGAAGTTTCAAAAGGCAAAACCGAGAAAATACAGATTATAAACCTCTGGGGCTACTTGCAGTATTCACAGGGCTTTAAGGAAGGAATTCTCAAAGGGGTTTAAAGGAGTTAAAATCGTATTTATTATAAAATTCACTCAGTTCACTTTCTAGGTTGTGAGAACAGAAAGGGAGGGGGTTTCTTTCATCACTTATTTCTGTGCCTTGCAAAACTCAGGATGTGCAGACCGTGTCCTGTTCTAATTTAACCCACACAAATTTTATGTTTGCTGCTAAAGCCTGGGAATTGATGCTGCTCAAACACAATGTTTCATTAGAACTAATATGGAAAATGTGACTCAGATGTACGAAGGATAATCACTTCCTCTATTAAACCAGCCCTGAGCATTGTTCCTGTCCAGAAGGCAAAATGACAACAGTTGCACAAGCAGCATTCAATTCCAATGATGGTTTTGTATTAAATCAAGACACACAGAGATTTTAAAAATATTTTTATTATTGTAATGAGACTGCAATATTGTCTAAATAAACTTTTCAATCACTATTACACTCTATTTTCCTCATGAAGATTCCAGTTGGGAATGCTACAAATTATCCTGCAACCTGTACACTTAAAAGTTTATAGAAACATTCAGTATTTAAAGGCCTTTGCAATATGTTGTTGTTTTTATTTTTTTTACACCGTCAGAGTTATAAATCCAAGTGTATACTGAAGTAGATTTATCTCAGACCCACTGACAAACAGCTTCAAGGGCTGTCAAAGAAAAAGTTTGGGTGTGCTCACAACTCTGTGGGAGTCTTGTCTACAAGGGCTGCTACAAAAGCAAGAGATTGAGCAGAGCTGTAGCAGTCAGCGAGAGCCAGAATTTAGGCCACTGCTAATTACAGTTAATTTTGATTAATTCTGCTGCTCACATAATACTTAAGGCAAATTTCCTTGTATACTCATTTTCCCAAGCTAAAGCAACAACATAAGCACAGTTCACAATACACTGAACAAAAGGTATTTTAAGGTAATTTATGTAAGATGTGGCAAGAACAAATACAACACATTGCAGTTATAACTCCTACTTTTCTGCTCAGAATGATGAAACTCCCTTTTTCAGTTTGTATTCAAAAAGACTTGAACAGTCTACCCTTTCCAATTTTCTCAGAAATGTTATTTAAGACTTGAAACAAAAGTTTTCTGGAGCTGGAGATGTCCCAAAGCTGATGGGAGTTCTGAACACATATCCACAAATCCTTGAACAAAAGGAGAATCCAATGCACTGTTACTGCAAGTAGACAACACAAAAATTACATTCAAATGAGAGACATTTTATAGGATTCTTTTTATGACAACAAACTCAACTTCAGTAGCTCCAACAAGCTGGGAAAAAGAAGAATTTAGGCTTTTAGCCTAAATGCCACAGTCTTCAGTTTGCAAGGGCAGTGTACCATCAGCACCCACTCCTCAGCTGTAAAATTTCTCATCAGTAATACAAAGAAAAGAGACATCTGCCATTAGAAAGAATAACACAAACAAGTACTGAAATACTGGCAAAAAATCAGAAAAGAGGTTTTCAGCGGCATCCTTGTGTATGTGGACCATCAGATATGTTAGCAGAAGTATCTCAGGAAAAAGCCATTGTTTTGGCTTTGCACAATGCTTTTTTCACCTTTTGTTAATCAGACATTCAATAACACAGCAGTGACTGGGGACAGCACCAGCAGTGTCCTGACCCTGCTGCTCTGGAGGAAAAACCTTCTCCTACCCTTTGACAGGCAGAATTCAGTCCCCAGGGTGTGCAGGGAGTGCACACTTGAAAATAAAATGAAATATAACAATCCTTTGACTGGAAAAAGGGATGTTTTATGGATTTCTGGAATGTTAGGAGAGCAACATTTGTAAGTGAACCTGTTAAAGATTCCATCCAAGGCAGTTATGGAAATGACAATACATTGAATTGATTTAAAATAACAGTAATTTTAAACAAGAAATTGGACTGAAAAAACCATGATGTTCCAGGAAAGAACTGTGTGCTTTGTGATCTCTATTTATTTTTAAATATATTTATATTTTTACAGTACAGACTAAATCATTTTTACATATAAATACAACAGTATTGAAGTCTGTTAAGATTTGATTTTTAGAAGTAAATGGACCAGACTTTAACACAGGTATGTATGGAAGCCTTTCAGCACATCTTTAAATTTGATTCCTGCTACAACTGAAAAAGTGGAAATATTATTGTATAACTTTATCATAAGCTTCTTTCCCCTCTTGTGAAAGTGCAGACAAATTTAATAAAAAGCAACACCGCAGTTCTTCATCCTGACTTCCAACACATTTAACAGTATTTGCTCAAATCCCACAGATCAGCTATTACAGTGATTCAAGAGAAAAGTGAATTTTCACCCAGTGGAATCCCAGTCTGCCAGACAACCTCACAACACAGAATTCTCACTCCTGTGTCACCTCCTCCTTCGACTGCTTGAGTTCACTCAGAAGCTCCTTCCCACTTTCTCCTGCTTTTGAGGCAAAGAGAGCAGCTCCCTCCTTAAAGCCCAGCAGCTTCAAGCTCCTGGCATAATCTGCATACACAGCATGGATCAATTTATGTAAATGAGGCATTAAGGAAAACACAAATTAATAGCAAAACAAAGAAAGCTCAGAATCCTTTTTTCCCCCCTTCTTACTCCTTGGCTCTCCCAAGGTGAAAATGCTGAACATTGCTACCAGTTGTGCTAATCCATTATTTTTCAGCACAAGTAAAAAAAAAAGCCAGTTCCTTTAAATCCTCCATTTGAACTCATATGAGTATTTATAAAGCAACGTGCAGAGTGCTGTAAACTAAACCAGACACATTTCAGATATGCTTAAGTACTTACCATGATACAATAGCATAAACAGCAAAAGAAAACTTTGTCTCAAAGACTTTTCCATGAATTACACTTGAAGTTATCTACATGACTTATTAGTAGCATTTTTTTATTTAAGGCTGATGACTCCATAGGTATTATTTGCATATGCATTATTATTTACAGTATATAATACAACAGTTTGTGCAACTGCTCAGCTTCTCAGAACACCAGGTCAGATGTGAAGATTTAGTGAGCACAGACAGGATTTCAGAAAAAGGATATTTGTATCATCATTAACTTCAAATGCCCCGTACTTCAGGCAAGCTTCTACAAATAAAGCTGCTCTATCAAAGTACCTCATACTGTTAAATGGAAAAAAAAAAAAAAAAGAGAATAATTTGTTAGGATGCAAACCAGAAAAGTATTCCAGGATATCACCAAAACACTTGCAGAGAGACTTTCTAAAACTTTGTTCTATCTCCCCTTCTTCCTTGCACTCATGAACTGACACTTGCTATAAATTTTCCTGAAAGATCAGGGCTGAAGTTACTGAGAAAAAATCATAGCTACTATAAATCATTACTGCTTGATCCATGGGTGCTGGCAATCTTAAAGCCTGTAGTAAAATGAAATGCCAGTCATAGCCCACAGGTTACAAGTAATTAAAGAAAAACATGCTTGTGGGAAATGGATTTGTAGAGAATTCTCAAAGTTTGACAGAAGGTTCACATAGTATGTATTTGCACGTAAACTTTGAGATAAGAAATACTGACTTAGAAATGCTATGGAATGGGATAGACATTGCTGAGAGACAAATGGAACTAGAAACAAGTTTTAAAGGATGGTTTTGTAAATAGGGTTAGATACTGTAGAGAAATATAACAATGCTTATAGTGTATTGTAGTTAGGAAATAGTTGGCTTCTGATTGTGATAGCCTGAATTATAACTATTATCTGTATTGTCTCACCCTTCTCAGGAGACTGAAAATGGAATAAAAGTTTTTAAAATGCCTCTCAGCTGCCCCATCTCTGGGTCACAAAAGGGCTTAGTCTGACACACGTGAAAATAGATGTCAGAAATAGGTGTGGACAAGAGAAAACACGTGTCGTGCTGTTTCACCTTTACCTGTGTAACATCTCTGCAACTTTTGTGAAGCAGCCAAGAGACAAGAGGACCAGAATGGCCTTGGATTTCTGGTTGACCTGAGGGGAGCAGAGGTGATCGACCCAACGCCGCAGCACGTCCGCGCACTCCTCCGAGCTCAGCCGCACCTGCGGGACACAGCAGAGCCTGAGCGAGCCCCCAGCTGCCACACAGCCCCTGCACCCTGCTGCTGCTGCTGCTGCACCCTCCTCAGGGCAGCACCCTGGGCAGGAGCAAAAGCATCTGAAACCATCAGTTTTTAATAAAAAACATACTGCTTGAGTTAATAGGGCATTAGGAAAATCAGATATCTGGGTATAAAAATACTTCATTTGGGTCACTCCGTGATTAACATCATTTTTACCCCAAGATGTTCTAAAGGTTTTCTAAATCAAGAAGTTACTGTACTGAAGACTTAAAAAAAAAATCTTATTTTTTCTGAAAAGCAAAATTTCATTTAGAAAATCTAAGTACAACTTGTTCCATTCTTTCTTCAGGAAATATAACAGAAACACAGCTTTGGAGAGACTGAAAAATCCTTGCTAATTCCTGCCCATTTATAACGTGGAGAATTAATGCTGTGTCTGGGTAGTTTTGCTGTAATTATGGCTGCACACCAAAACAGAAGGTGATGACAATTTATGTGGGTGGTGGTAATTTTGAAATCCGCTCACACACTACATAGAGCTCAGCACAAAGTCACTGCTCAGTTAATTATTCACATCCAGGAGTGGGGTTTTGTAGTTTATTACCAGCTTTATACTGCTGCAGCTATATGGACCTTTCCAAACTGAAAAATTAGGAAATTAAGTATTCTAAGCTTTTTTGGGCCCCAATCCTGTAATGTGGACAACGAGGGCAGACTTGTGTGGTCAGAAGGCTGAAGAATCTGCCAGCTCTGATCGACTGGCCTGGCTTCTCATAGCTGAATGGCATTTCTAATTGATGTTTCAGTGATTTAGGGAACTTCAGCATCCTGCTCAGCCTTCCTAAGCACAGATGCTAAGCAGGTATTTGGTGTTCTCAGCCTGGGAAGGGAGGAAGTGCTCACCTTGGCCAGCCACGCTGCACGGTTCCACTCGCCGTAGGTCTGCAGGTAGCGACAGGCGTCTGCAGCCTTGTCAATCAGACACAGCAGCTGCACCCCCTCTGGAACAGAAACATGCACTCCCCTCAGGAAATCCAGGGAAAAAGAACTGCTGTCTAAGTGTGGAAAAGGATCCCCATATCCTTAGCACATGAAGATGTTGAGACTGCTCTCCATATAACCTGGGTGCCAGTTATTGCATTTTCGTTCTGGGCTACAGAGGCCACACAAAGCTCTCATTTACCTTTGTTCTGAGTACAAATTTAGGGTTCACAGGACTTCTCATCATAAAGATATAATAATCTTTGTAAATTAAATAAATAGATTTCATGAGTACTTATTATTTTACTTTAATTTAATGCTGTCCACCACAATAAATTAACAGTGTAATTATTAACAGTCTAGAGACTGGAAAGTAGTTTTTTCCAGGCAAGCACACTTTTAACTTTCTCAGCATGTTTGAGTATTTCAGTTATATGATTGTAACTGAAATATTTCATTTATGTTTCAGCTCTTGCATTAAGCAAAATAACCTGTACTTGTAAGAAAACATATATTATGAAAGAAAGCTCTGAACTGAAAAGGAGACTAAATCCATATTTCACGTTTTGTAACAGGGACACCAAATTTTAGTTAATTCTTTAATTAGAAGAGTGGAAAATACATATTATGTGCTCAGCTTCTCTTTGTGGAAACAACTGCTAAAAGATTTAATCCAGAAGTAAGTTTTCCAGTGAAAATAATTCAAGACAAGCTGGATTTTATAACTCAGTAACTCATCATTTTTGTGTTAACTACTCCGTGTAGTGTCTACTACAGCACACCCAACATGTAAGATCCACCACTGCAGGACTCACTCCTATTTCACTGGCATCCCTAAAAATGGTGAGAATTATCAGTTCACAAGCAAAGAGACAGAGATGTTTTACCTGCAAGCTTTCCATTGGCTATCATGTTGGTTGCTACCAGTTTAATGGTGCTTTGAGATGGCCCTGATGAGGTGACAGTTGTGACCAGGCAAGCTTTGAGCGAATCACAGTAATAATGTGCATTCTCTGAACTGGTTTCCAGCAGTAGTTGCACTGCTCTGTCAGTCTGGCAAGAGAAAAAAATACAGCTTTGACCACAACATTTTAATTTTGTTTAAAAGCCTTTCTATCTTTACCCTTTTTAAGACACAGAACAAATAACAATGGAAGTTAGTCTAAAACAGGCTACAAAAATATCTCCCTGTCTAGGAATGACTAAGATTCTACTTTAATAGGACATTTGCAATAAGGAGAGCATTGAAAACTCATCATGACTTTAACATAAGAATGCAAAAACTTTGCACTGGGCTCATATAAGTAGGAAATAACAAATAAAGTTAGAAAAAGCTTTCCTTGAATAGGCTAAGTACACAAAACAGGGAAGAAGAACAAAAAATTCAAATATTACCCACAAACCTGGCCCAACAGAAGAAGCTGATCAGCACATTTCCTGGTATGATCATATGTTGACCTCTTCACTTCCTGGAGATTCACCCTTTCCAGCTGAAATTTCTGGACAAAGAAGGAAAAATATTTTAAGTGTAAGCCTACCACAATAAATAAAACCAGGCTTTTAAAAGATATTTACATATCTTGCCAGTTTTTGGACCAGCCTCTATTTTTAAGTACCAGCAATGTTTTAATCCAGACTGGTATGTTACTAATAAAAGTGAAATATGTACAGGGAAGCGAGTGTTTACTGTACTGATGCCATTCCTTTAAATTTGGTTTTGAACTCTGACATACCTGGAAGTAAGAATTTTCACACAGCACATCATAGCATATATCCAGAGGATTAACCAGCTGCTCCTGAAGGACAGCTGTGTCTGGTTTTGCAGGCTTTTCCTGGCATAAGCTGTGCAAATAGTGGGCAGCAATAGTCCAGAAGTGCAGTTCAGATTCGTCCCCATACAGCCTGAGAAGATAGAAAGCAGGATGTGAAACAGGCTTGTATTTTTTCATACACCACATAAAAATATGATATATTTCATTTTCTCAAGGACTCTGCATTCCTGTGGGCAACACAAGTACTCTGCATTATCAGTGGGACAAACTATGAGAGAGGATTATGGAATGACATTCATTACAACAGCAATTAAACTCCAGGAATGTTCAGCATAGAAATATGTGGAAATTGATATTTATTATTATTTTACACTTAGTCACTGATATCCTCTTTCAACCACAAGTTAGTAAGTTTGAAAACCATCTCTGAATACAGACAGACTAAAATTAGCTCAGTTTAGACAGAACAAATACACTTGAAATAAACCCCAGACCCTCCCCTGTTTGTACAGAGCTATTGTGAAGTTCTAAATGACATTTTGGGGTATGAACAATTAAGTGTAATGTGGCTGCCAGAGCTGCAGCTATAAAAGTGCTATCAAGACTGAAGGAAGTTCCTTGTATCCAGCAAGCAAATAAAACTGTTTCAGTGAGGTAACATTTCCATTTTGCTCCTAAAACCACTCTACTCAATGAGTAACAAAGTAGTTTAGGGACTGTGCTAAGTTAAGGGACCACTGGGTGAGTTCCTAAACTTCAGCTCATTCCTGTGCATTAACAGTATCAAGATTTTCCCAGGAAACATTTCCTGTATTTATCTGAATCTCTTCTACCTGGCAACCAGGAGACATCTCTGCAGAAGAGTAAAATCTGGATCAAGCAGAAGTTTCTTTATGTCGCTGCAAAAAGAGGAAGTGTTAAAGAATCTGTAAAATGCTGAGCAGGATTTTTTTGTTTGGTTGATTTTGAACAGAAACAGGATCCATCACACACAAACTGAAAAGATCAACCCCTAAAATACACAATTTCTTTTCTGAAATTAAAAAATGCATCTATGAGAACAATTACAACAGAAATTAGATATAATTTGAAATATAGCTGATCTCTAGGGGCAAATGCAGGGAATCCATCAAGAACTCTTTATCCTTGCAATATAGGGAATCACCACCAGGGTGTATGCAAAGCTGCCAATTAGTCTGCAGTAATTCTACTAATTACAATATTAATTCAGCTACAAATAATCTTGCAGCCATGTAATGCCACAGCAGAAGGGATGCACATGCATGAATTTAGGCTTTTCACAGGTGTTTCAGACTGGATAAAAATAGGCTGGATAAAAGGCTGGATAATAGGCTGTTACCATCCTACCAAATGAAAGGACAAAAGGAAAATGGACAAAATTATCTATTTACTAGCTTTAACTATAATTTTCAAGGTTTAAATTGAATGTCAAAATCTGTTTTCTCTGTAAATAGAGCAATGTGCATCAACAATACTCTGGAATTATATCTTCAACAAAGGATTTTTGGAATCATCTTTTTTTTCCTTAGAGCTCAAATATCCTAACAAATCTTGGAGTATTTAAGTAGCAGTGTCCAATTCAGTCTGGATCAGCATAAAGAACCCCTAAATCCCTGAGAAGCACTGCTTAAAACATTCCAAATGCTCACAGGTCAGTTGCAAATCATGTACTGACCCTATCAGTACCTTTAAAGCACCACACTTAAAATTAAAAAAAATTTGCAGTAAAAAACCCTTTTTTAAAAAAATAAAAACTGTCATTACTCAGGCACATCTTTAGAGAAAAGAATTTTTTCTTCATTAACTGTGAATTGCCACAAACTTCAGATATTTTGCCTTCTCATAATTCCATGGCTTACACAAGTAATAATAGAAAAATTCTTACTTGGACAGTGAATTCAATTGCTCTTGAAGAAGATTTTTAATATTTTCATTCTCTGGATAATCACTGGATAAAAAAAAAAAAAATAGAGGTTTTCTGTGTTACAAAAAATAGAGAATTACCTGAAATGGAAGAGCACTACTTGTAAGAGAAAAACACAGGTTAACTGTTACATGTTGACAATTTTTCACATTCTTTGGGTAAGCCATTCATGCAGGATTCTTTATCCAGTTACCAGTTCCAAAATAGCAGTGAAAGATTTGGTTTGCTTTCACTCAGCCTCACAGTCAGTGCCAATCTTTCTTTTCCCATTTTTCTTTTTTTCATTAATCATAAAATTAATAAAAATGGCAATGTCTAGAGCATTATTAAGTGACCATGAGCACAGTCCAGGACACAGAAATGTGCTCCTCTGGTGATGTGAATGTGGCTCTCCAAGAGTACAGACAGGTCTATCAGGATATCAGAATATCACTTTCATTTACACTTTAGGATGATGGCTGCATTAACTTCTAGAACAAAGAGAACAATTTTTCTCAGAAGTAATATAATGCCATAAAAATATTGCCTGAAAGGACTGAAACCAGACTGCAGTTTTCAACAGCCAAGTCCTACTGAAAGCCAGAAGAAATACCTGACCTTAGAGCCTTACCTATATTACTTTCAGTAATAAAACAGTGAACTAATTATAATTTTGACTGTCCCCAAGAGTGAGGAAACTTACACATCCAACAGTTATTTGCACAGAAAGACTAATAAAAGATATAGGCTTTAAAAAATAATAATATGTTATATATAGATCTGTATTTCTTCTTACATGTCCATAATATCTAGAGAATATTTCTCATCCCACGGTTGATGCAGCAGGAATGCTTTTAAAGCTAATGAAGCCCTTGGAACAAGCAGGTAGGGACACCAGACAGGTTCTGAAACAAAAGGAAAAGATTCATTGTCCAGAGAGTCATGTGCAATAATACTGTGCTCACTGATCAGAAAATGTGCCTCCAGAAAATATACCACAGAAAATGAACCACAGAAAATGTACCACAGAAAATGTACCACAGAAAATATACCACAGAAAATGTACCACAGAAAATGTACCACAGAAAATGTACCACAGAAAATGTACCACAGAAAATGTACCACAGAAAATGTACCACAGAAAATGTACCACAGAAAATGTACCACAGAAAATGTACCACCAGAAAATGTACCACCAGAACATGGACCACCAGAACATGGACCACCAGAACATGGACCACCAGAACATGGACCACCAGAACATGGACCAGCAGAACATGGACCACCAGAACACGGACCACCAGAAAATGTCCCAGCTTGTCTGCAAGCACCAGGAAAATCATCCATAAGTCTTCTCACACACCCAGCACAGGGTGCTAGACATAAAAGCTTATCACTACACTGAACAAAAACATTTCATAGAAGGTACAGGGTTATCAACCATGCTCAAATGAGAATTTCAGGATATTCCATAGTGAGTTTAGCCATAGACTCCTGGAATGCATTTTACTGGCTTTGGCAGAGTTGTACAATGATTATTGCTACATGATGCAAAGTAAAGCTACACCAAATATATCATAAAGCATGTTTAGTTTTGTTTTGTCCCCCTAATTCCTACAGTACAATACAAGGATTAAACCCCATCATCTGGCAAGGATGGTGGGAAGTTTAATAAAATACAAATTCTACATTAGTGCTGTCACACAAGTGTAGAAGTCAGTAAGTCTGTATCCAAGGCGTGGGTGACAGGCAATAAATGCTACCCAGTGACTGAGGAGTAGAACAAGTACCAAAACCAGCTCCATCATTAAACATTCACAACTCCCTGTACTTCGTGTGCACTGAGTGATGTAGGACTCTTGTAAATGTGATTTGGTAATTAAAACATTACCACAGAAGGAAAGCTCAATCACAGCAGCCTTACAGCTGGCACAGCCTCATTTCAGTGTACTTGGCTTTACAACATTCATCTTTATAACTTAATATTGCAGAACACGCCTTTGGTAGCAAAAATGGCTGTGATAAATTACATGTTTCCTCAAACAAACCCACACCACAGCTCCCCACATCACAGCTTATTGCATATGTCTTAGAATCCACTGGTTTTTAAGGAAATTACTTAAGGAAATTGTATGAGTAAAGGTAGGATTGACTCAAAAGGCAACAACAAGAAGAGTTATTTGGAACACCAGTAACAATAAATACAAAAAAATATAGTTTGGTTAACTAGTTAAATATTTAAACTCCCTTCTTAGACATATGGCCAAAAAGGCAAACAGAACTAATATTGCTATTTTAAAGGTCAGTCTGAAGAGCAATGAATCAGTCTACAGACACCTGAAAAAATCAGGAAATACATTTTTACCCATCAACAAATGTTTGTAAATCATGTAATGAGTATCAGTGATGTGGATACAGATACTTAAATGAGGTGTCAATGCTTTTTAAGTCAATTTGCTATTTATCTGTACAAAAAGCTCTTATTTTCTTAATTTATTTTTAAATTAAGATAATAAAAAGTATGTGCTATTTGGGAAATTAAACTTGTATTAAAAAACCCATGCATATTTTTGGTTTTTTTGGGTCTGGATTGAAGGCACTTGAGACAGTAGTTCAAGTTTGGACTCAGGTGTTTATTATTTATTATCAGTAAAACAGTCTCACAGCTATGAGTTCAGCAGCTTTTCATTAGAAGGCACAAAATGGCCAACAACCTCTTGTTACAAGTTCTTTTAAGACTAAACTATCCAATCAAGAACTGATACCTGGATTATTTTCCCTTTTAAGCCAATAACTGATCCCAAAGAGCAATGTGGACTTTTCTACCCAATTACCCAAACCTATGAAGAAGAAGGAAGGTGAAGCATGAAGAAGAAACCCAGGACAACACCCTGTGCCCTCCATCTTGCTTCCATCCACAACACACTGAAAATCCCAGAACTTAAATTTCTCATAAAGTGAGACACTACACTGCTCTCTATAATCTATTTCACACTTTTGTGGATTCCAGTCTATCTTGAAGTCTAGGAAACTTTCTCCATAAATGAGAGTCAAAGTCAGTCCTCCCCTGGGGGTCAGGGCACCCCAGAGCAGACAGAGAAATATTCCTGGTGCCCTGGGTTTCCAAACATATGACCTAAGCATAAAAACATTACCTGTATCCATGAAAAGCAGTGGAAAGGCACCAAAATCTCCACACGTGACAACTCCCTGTTCTATGCTGAACTCCACTTTCCAAAGAGGACTGCAGAAGTATCAAGCAGTGGACAGCACAGAAGACATGACATACCTATTAAATCCTGCTCATCCATCCTGAAACACGAGGGCTTCATGGACAAGTCCAGCACTCGGATGCATCCATCATCTGCTGCCAGCACCACTTTGTCTGACGTGCACCAGTCCACGTCCAAGACCCGGAAATTCACATTTCTGCCACTCCTTAAACTGCTCACCATTTGTACCTGCAAAAGTTCAGTTATTTCTTATTTCTAGCAGCCTCTCCATCACCCAGTGTGAGGCTGTGTCACACACCCAGGAGGCACAGCACAAAATTCACCATGAAAGGTGAAGTTAGCCATAAATCATTTCAATAATGGTCTTTTCTGGAGAGTAGGGAATTTAGAAACCTTGGAGTAGGTCACATGGTTGACCTGGAACAATACTATTTCCCAAATCAGGGCTGAGAAAAAAGCTCCTTTTGAGCATAGTGTACAGCTGCCTTTTTGTTATCTTTTCTAATAGGACAGGATTAGATGCATAATAGAACTGAGACTATAAAATATTACTACAGATATTCTAAAAGACTTTTGACTGAAAATGTGAATTTGATTTTAAATGCTTTCATACAGGAAACTCCTTTATCCTAGGAAAAAGAGAGAACAGCTACAGTATCTTGTGGCATCAAAACAATTCAAATGTTCTCCAAGGAGAGACACATTGGGTAATACCCTACTCAACCTATGTAATTCACAGTAGTTGTTCAAATCTGCTGTTCATTCTTATCATCAGTGGAGTTTCATATTGCACTAATTAAGTGTCTGAGTTTGGAGTTGGTGCTCATTACAAAGTGAACAGGAAAAAAATTAAAATTCCTCTTTCATAGCCTGATACCCTGAACTTATTCTGGGGGCTAAGTTAAAATAGTACAATTATATTTCCTTCCCCATTGTACCATAATCCCCTAAGAGACCTAAAAGCAAAGCCCAGAAGGTTTGTGAACATAACTAGAGAGTTTGTGAGTAAGAGAGAAGCTAGAGAGCATTAATGAACAGGTGTCTGGGTTTCTGGTATTCCCTAACAAATTACATCTATTGACCATACACAGAAAACCTGCAGTGAAAGCAATCTCCTGTCCACAGATTAAAAACTGGGGACTCCCCCCTAAATTTTCAAGGTCTGCCTCAAAACCATTACAAGAGGATGACAAGGAGGATCTCATACACTGTCAGCTTCAAGAGTGGAAGACTCTTTTCATTGATGCAGCTCAAAGATGCTTTGCAGGGAGTAGAAGTCTTCTGAGAAAAGCCATATGACTTTATCATGCAACTGCCAGCAAGAAATCCTGACTCAGTAAAACTTAATCCCTCACTCATCCTGATGTTCAGAGGTGAGGTGTGGGCTTTGAAGAGAAGTGCTATCAAACCAACAGCCACTTACCTCTTTTGAATCCCAAATTTCTACCCCATCGTTGTACATTGCAAGGAGTTTTTGATTTCCTTTCCCTGGGGCAAACCGTATTTTTTTCACCCAGCTCCGGTGAGTAGGAATCCCCCTAAGGAAAGACAAGATTAGGATCCATCATTCTATACCCAATATTGTAGGAAATGGAATCCTTTCCAGGAACTTTGGAAAGATCCTGGTATTGCACAGACTGAGGAGAACAATCTCTCTATAGATGCACACACAAATGGATGTCCAGATTATAAATTTATTAAACTAAAATGATGAAATGCTTGGAATAAACACTACAATACATAATGTTTTACCAGAAGCCATTGCAGATTTAATGCAAAAAAAGATATCTAGCTGGTTTTAAAACCTTGATTGAATGTTAATTCTTCTGAAAACACAAGAGATTAAATGCAGGGAACTGTGACACAATAAACATTTTCAGAATTTTTATTCCCAAATACTTGCATTTTTCCCTACACTGAAGAACAAAAATGAGGAAGGATGAAAACATTCCACATTCTAATACTCATCATCTCATGTTTAACAGACTTAATTTGCATTCATACCTGGATACTCTAGCTTTCAAATCCCAGAAGTTTAAGTTTCCATCAACATCTCCAAGAACCAGGATATCCCCTTTCCAGGCAATACAAGTAATGCTACCCATACTTCCCTGAAAATATTTAAGAAGCAGAAAAATATCTTGTGATTAATAGATTCAAACATATGAATAAATATTTTAACATTGGTATTAATTAAAAAAAATTATACAACATGATAGACCAAACTGTACTCAGTTAAAACAGGAAAAATTATTTATAAGACTGTGAAAACAGAACTGCTATCAGTTTTTATGCTGGAATTCATTTCAGATTTCAAAGTATTACATTACTGACTTGCTGCTACAAAGCTGATCCCTGATTTTTTCTGGCAGTCAAAGCTAAGCAAAAAATTCAAGCATCAATGATATAGAACTTACATCTGGAGGAATTCTTGCACTGTCTTTTACTGAGTTTCCCTCTACTGTGAGATGATAAACCTGCCCATCAGCACCTGTAAACACAAAGTGCTCCCTGGCAGAGATGTTCTGGCTCAGCTCTGATTTACTTTCAGCTTCCTGCAACAAGCTTTAAAAAGAACATAATGAGACACAACTATTTCTTTCTTGAAATCAGAATTGCAAGACAAATTCTACCTCATGCACAGAAACAGCACAAAAAAGGAGCATACATGGCTTGTAAACACTTTATGTAACAGTTAATTATTACTTCCACTCTTGTTGAAAGGGCAAGTAACTTGTCCAAGGGCAAGTAAGAGTTTTACTTAAGAACCAGATAACCAATGGACTGCCACAGACACACCTGAGAGTAACAGGTACATCAAAGCACATTAAAGTCCCCCATATAAGAACTAAAGGGAGGCCCATAAAGTTGTTTTGCTTGCTATGTACTCAACAATCAGTTCCAAAATATTCTTTTCATTAGAAGAATGGCACATGGTGGGAAACCAACAATTGCTGTAGCCCAGGACTCCATCAGGAGGGGGGATACCTGATCACAGAGGATTCCACACTGCTGACTTCAGTGTCTGATGCCACTGTCTGCCGGGCCATGGCCTCCCTGGCTGCCAGCTGCTTCTTCCTCAGGCTCTTTAAGTTATGAGAAGGTGACCACTCCTGTGGAAAATGGCCCAGGAAAAATGGAAAGGAGAAAGGTTTATTCCCTGAATTTACTGGGGCTTTATAATGATTTCCAAGGAGATTGCTTTCTGCAGTACCTCCTTCCATTGCCCAAGGGGCAGAGCAGATTTCTTCACCAGAATCTCCTTTTTTCCTGCCTCCATTTGGTGAAGATGAAATGTTAAAGCACTTTCCTGTATATGCTACAGCTACAGTAGCACTTGCTGCAAAATTGTTCAAAGATTTTATACTATTTCAATGTATTACATTTATTAAAAGATAACAGAATTTATTCCTTACCAGAGCAGTGGCTGTAGGGAAGTTTTTAGACATTTCTCTGAGCAGAGTGCAAGTTCTGACATCCCAGATCTCCAGTGGTTTGTCTCTAAATACCACAGCTAGGTACTGCCTGAAACAAATGAGAATTTACTCCAGCAAGAGTCATTTGAGCATTTTACTTCACTTGTGTTGTTCACACCAGCACTCTGGAGACCCTCAAAAACTATGAGTTAGCAGAGCAAATCAAATCCCCCTCTGAAGCTTGTGATTCCCTTGAGTTACTGAGGAGCAAAAGAATGTCTGAAAAAAGAGTTCTCCTCAAAGCTAACAGAATTATAAATTTCTGCCAAGTGGTTCTGCACAATTACTGTGGAGGAAACAAGGGGAATAATTCAGAGAGCAGCAACCTCTGATCTCACCATGTTCAGCCTCAGTTGATGGCACAAAATACCAGAAAAACACACGAGACTGCAGGCTGGACAGAGTTTTTTCCCTCCTGCAGATGCATGCCACTTCCTAATCCTGGGATACATGAGCATAAAATCATCTCACACTAAACCACTTTTCAGTCATGTCTTAAGACTGCTCATCTGTGGAGCTGGGTGAGTGTAAACACCTTTAACCTACCACTTTTCACATTTAACTTGAAAACACAGAGGCCATGCAGCAATTTGTCCTCTCAGGCACTGCATTCATCTCTCTGCAAGTGAACCTCCTTTCTTGTCTCACTCAACACTCTCCAGCATCTTCATCTAAGCCCAAGGCTGTTCTTAATTTTTAATGCATTATTAAGAACATTATACGGTTGAACTCTTCCAGATTCTCTGGACTCCTGTGCAAGCTAGAGACATTAATTTTTTTTTCCTCCACTGTAAAGAAGAAGCTTTTAAGATTTAGAGACAATGCCCTATTAAAATCAATACTACTTTAATTTCATTTATACAAGAAAGTGAAGTAATTTTCCAGAGTACTACAATTATTATTTTTGATACAATGAAGATCAGAGCCTCCTGTCACAGGCCTGAGCTCAAAATAATGATGAAAGGAAACAATTTGGTCGTTTATCAGCTAACTTTTCAAACTGTATCTCACATCTGGTTTTCCAGCAGACAATTATTACAAAGGTGTTAAATACATACAAAAGCTAAATAAATATGAACAATCATCCAATCTTTAATGCCAAACTTCCTAGTTTTAAGTGAATTAATTCATAACAGAATCAAAGTTGAAAAAAAAACCAGTTCAGCACTTTTATTCACCTTAATCAGTAAATACCTCTAAGAAATAAAATATTAATTACTGATTTTGCAATGTGATTGGATCCTGAAGTGACAAAGTCAACCACAGAAACATTCACAGCTTTTTCACTTGAAATTAATATTCTGAAGCATTTTTCTCTTGCTGCTGTTGAATATTTTCCTATACACCCTGAAGTGCTTTGTGTCTTGGAATGTCTATGATATTCTGAGGATTTTCATGCAGTACAGTGAAATTTATAAACTTCCCAAGGCTGAGGCACTTACTTCAAATGAGACACCTTTATCATTTCGATGGCTGGCTCGTCGTTGCCTCGCTCCCCACGGAATGCAACACTCCTGCCTGGAGCACAGAGCAGGGGGAGAACAGAAACAGTCAATAAACCAAACAGAAAGGGAGAAATTTAAATATAAACTGCTCTGTTTGTAAGCAGAACCAGCTTTCTAACCAAACCAAAACATCTCCAAATCACCTGTCATCTCTAATGTCATTGTCAAAGTTTTACTGTGTTTCATTTTACTGCATTTCAGCGTTCATCATTAAAATACCAAAGTTTACATTAGATATATTGTAAACTCTGCTGTCAAATCTAACTCCTGACTCACTTCCAGAGCACAGCTACTCAAATGGATGCATCAGGATTATATAAATATAGAGAAGGTTCCAAGAGTTATTATTTTCCACTCAAAGTCAATGACAGATTCTCTTCATACCCCAAGGAGGAAATTCATTAATAGATTCAAGTTTGATAAGAGAAATTAACTCTGCCATGAACTGTGATAGAATTTCATGGTGAGCTACATTCTACACTTACCAGAACCATTCTCTCTTCCTTTCCAGCTAAAACAGTAAATCTTAAGAGTTTATAATCTCATCCCCAAGAAAATTTTCATCCACTTGTAGGAAGTGTTGCAGAATTATAGGTGTTAGAGATATGATATTTAGCAAAATAAAAAATTACCTACAAACAGCATCTTGTATGCAAGTTGCATGCTCCTTAGCTTCAAGAAAAATTCAAGCTATAAATTTTAGCTCCTCTTGTAGCTCACAGCAAAATTACTGAAGCCAGCTACATGAATAAATCTAGTTGTCAAGGACATGAGTTAGAGCTCTCCTGTCAGAGGTTACTGGAATTCCTTCTCTATTTTCAACATCTTAGCAATTTTCTTTCATATTTTTTTTCAGAAACATACATGAGAATTTTGTCAAAGTAAATTTGAATCAGCAGAGTTTTCCTAGGCCTAAAACAGGAAGCTGGGCTCCTAAGTGAGGGAAGAAGCAAAAATCAAACAGTTAAATTGCTGTGCCTTTCTTGAAAGCTTTAAAAGAGGAAGTGTACCATTTTTAAGCAAACCAAATGCTAAGGTCTCATGTATTCACATTTACTCAAAACTTGGTTGCCTGCAGAAATTCTGAACCTTTGACGATTTCTCTCTGTAAATGTTCTATACTGATTCATAAATGGAGTGAAAAATCAGATTCTCAATTTACATGAAATTAATTTCCCAGTTTTGATTTTAAACAGATGAACAAAACACATTATATGAAAAGACTTTATATTAATATGCTACAAGAACCTCTCTGTGCAGCACCCTGGAAATACAACTGAGGTTTTTCCATAAGCTTAAAAAAAACAATTAAAAAGTCACTTTGTATAAACCAATTCAGAATTAGCCATGTGCTACAAGATTCAGGCTCTTCCATTAGAACTTAAGTGGCTCCAGGTTTTCACATTCAAAAATAATGTAAAATTATTGAAGTGTTTCCTGTTCTGGGCTGCATAATCTCCCCAGTTACACCTCTTCTTGTGCAAATACTGAGTTCATTACAAATGTATTTATCATCCACTATGAGGCCAAAACAGTTGAAAAAATGTAACCTGTTAATTTTGCTATCAACAGTATCTTTTAACAGTTATTTACTTTATAACCTTTCCAATTATTTATAAAAGTACCAGTTTTTATTGTTTAAAATCCCTTTTACACTCATTCACACTCAAATCCTGATGAGGTGCAACACAACACAACAAATGGTTTGACACTATTTCAGGTGCACATGAAACAGTGAGTGCAGACTATGACAAAACACATTTGGAAATATGGAAATATGTGCAATTTGTGAACAAAATCCACCACTAATACCCCATGTGGCTGCTTCTAAACCCCCTGCTGACACTTATTATTCTTTTAATAAGTCCAAGGTGTTTTTGCAAAGGTGCTGGTTCAAGTCTTTCTGCAGAGCACCAGACAAAACACATATTGTGGCTTCATAAAGAAGAGCGGGAACAGTTAAAGCCCCTTTATTATTTTGTCATGACAACAGAAGGAATTAAAAAAAAATAATAGTCAGAACTTGTCACTCCCTAGCAAATCTGTCAGCTCCTGGAGCAGACTTCTCAGGAAACACAAACCTGTTGGAAGGTCCACCAGCTGCAGCTCATTCCTGACCAGTCCCAGATTGTTGGGTGTTGATGTGGCAAAGGAAATGAAGCCAGTCAAGCTGATCCATTCAATTCCCCTGTGAGCAGAAGGAAATACATGGAGCATATCAGCTAAAATATTTGAATTGCTACAAGTCTGAACAGAAGTATTTTTTTCACATATATTCTTAAAAGCCCAGCACAGATGTAATTTTCTACACTTTCTGGAAGCATTACATATAGCATAAAAGGAAGCTACACATTAACAACTATGGTGTGAATATAAGTTAGTGAGTTAAATTTAAGAGCAGCTTTCTTTTCAGACTGCATTAGCTCTACTTTGGTTAAATAAAAAATTCAGGTAGAAACACTGTTAACTTCTGCAAAAAGCCCTCACAGATACTCAGCACTAGAGTGGATCCAAAGCCCTGTTCTGATCAAATCAGGGGTTACTATCAAACTCCAAATCCCCAGCACACAGGAAAATATTCATGTGGGTGGCAGTGTGGGTAGCCTTATCTCTTTCAGTCCAGAGAGAGGAGAAATAAAGATGATATAAAAAGAGAGGCCCTGAAGAAATTTCATAAAAGAACCAAAAACCTGGTCTTTTTCGTTTGTTTTTTTGTTCTTTTAGATCACACCAAAGCAGCTCCCAAGCAGATCACATTACAGTGCTGCAAGGATGTAAAGTTCCAGTGCTTTAATGAATGAATAAATAATAATAATAAATAAATAAAATTGAACTCAATAGAACATACTGGCAGCACAGATGGACTTTCAGCCAATTCCTGAAATACACCACAGGCAAAAGGGACAGAAAGTGACAGTGGGTGGGACTGTCCCTAAAAATGACCCTTCTCCAGCCCCATTTCCCACACACATTTGGTGCCTGCAAAAATTGCTTTACCTGTGAAATAAATCTAGGAGCTCTTCCAATGAAAACTGAACTTCAATACACACATGTGCTCAACTTCCTTTTAACACAGATAAAAGGATTTAAGGTTTCCTCAAAGCCTTCAAACACAGATTACTTAACTGCTCCCAGGACAAGTATTCTGGTTCATCAACTGTTCATTTTGGAAGAATATATGTGCAGTATGAGAAAAATAAAAATAAATAACAGCATTTATGATTTGTGGTCAGTAAATCCAACTCACACTGCATTAAGTAAAAGTTTCCTAAATACAATGTACATGGGTGAAACCAAAAAGCACTCCCATAACATTTTGCACATACAATTTACAGCCATATTTATATTATTTTAGTTCAGCTTTAAAAACAGGGGAAGCTTTATTCCTAAGTCCTCAAGAAAAGGTAAAAATTTAGGGCCCAGGTTTTTTTCCCAGCAGGACTTATGGAAGTTCAACCCTTAATTTCAATCAAAATGAGAAGTGTTCAGTTATTAATTGAGACATTTCAGGCATGACTGAATAGAAATCTAAAGCTGCAGAAATGGGTGACATTGCAAGTCTCCAAAGGGTCATAAATCCAGGGAGCTTTCTGAAATGGAAGAAATGTGAATTCTGACACCTTCCCATTTATCTCAGCTATGTTTTTTGGGAAAAGCCCACTCCTAATGCATTGTTATTGCTGGTAGTTATTCACCACTCTCGTACAAAGACTTGAAGCATTTTCTACACTTCTTTCATCAGCTCAGATTTAACAGGCAAGTCCTTTTTCTCTGCTGCTGCCTGGCCATCTGTCAATACCAATAAAAATCTACAGAAACCTAAGACACTCAAAAACACAAGAAAATCTTAGCTCAGCTAACTGCTTGCACCTGAAACAACATAATTTTTGTAACTGTCATACAGAGAAATTGAGAATCTGAAGACAGTGGTCCACATTTTAATGATGGAAGCAAGTAATGCCTTCCCTATTGAAATAGCAAACATTTCCTAAGAAAAATCATCTTTGCCTACCAGAATTAAGGGTTACATTCAGCTGCCAATCACTTTCTCAGACTGAATCTACTCTTAAAATGCAACATTTACAGATTCTGTACATTCAACTTGTCTCAGTTACTTCAGGAGTGAGACTCCGTTGTTTTGATTAATGTTTCCAATGCAAACAAATCACAAAGTGCACTGAAGTGGATAAAAACACAAATTACATTTCTAGTTGGCAATAGATTGTTGTGACTTTATGACATGGCAGCTGCTACTTAAATTTAGGGATTCTAAGAAAAAGAGAAAGGCAAAATGGGAAATTAAACCATATGTGCTCCCAAAGTGGTGGTAGATATTTTTCATTCTAACTTCTCAGTTCAAGGAAAGTTTTTTTAAAGAGGTGATGAATGTTTGCAAAGCAGTTTCCCAAAGAGCAGTCAGCTAAAATTCAAATGCTAAAAAACAGCTTCAATTCAACTGCTAAAATTTGGATGTAATGTAGCAATTTTCAAGTTGTGCCTGCAGGCCATAGACATTCATGTTACAGTCAGTGAGATTTTAATTTTAAAAATAAAAGCTGCTGCAGCCTTGAACTCGCTGAGCTTCAGTGAAAAAGAATGAGCAGCACTGCTCCAGTCTCAGCTTATTACCAGAATAAGCAAAAGCAGCACTGAGAGCTGCAAATGTGCCACTGAACTGAAAGCTGCACTGCAGGCATTTTGTTTGCATGTCTCAAATATATTCTTCTCTGCACTGAAGGTGTTTTATTATCTCTTGTATTGCCTACAGTTGACTGTTTCATGGTTCCTCCTTCATTGTGGTGGTAGATTCCAAGCAGGTTTCCACAATGAACTCTCAGAGCTGCCTATTCTCAGGAACCTGTACTTTCCTTAACTTTCTGCAGAATGCACAGCAAAATGCAAACCTTAACCAGATGAAGGCTTCACAACACAATTCTGATAGAATTTTTTACTAATAATTGTACTAGAAATTAGTATTTTATTTTCATGCTTAAATCTGCCTGGAAATATGTATCCAGCAAGCAGCACCTTGAATATCTGTGCCATCAGTTATCCAAAAAGTTCTGCCACTGTGTTCTGCACACAAACACAAAGCACAAAAGCTTTAAAACTCACTCTGCTCCTTCTCAGGATGGATAAATACTGATTCCTATATTCAGTCTTTAAAAAATTATCTTTACTTCCCTTAGGACTAGAACTGTCTCAACAGCAATTTCAGCCCCAAGGGCGTAAAGTAAATAAAGCCTGACATACCAACCAGCATTACTTCAAAGGACTCAATCCAAATAGTTATACAATAAATAAAGTTTCTTGTCCTAAAAAGACTTCTTTGTCCTGCAGTGCACTGAAGAGACTGGAAGTAGTTGATATGCATCCCAGATCAGCAGGCACAGATGCAATTCCAATATTTCTTTCAGTGTAATTTTCATTAGTTTTGTCAGGGTGTTACAGCTCTCACACAGCAAAGGCAGGGTAGAGCACTCTACTCTGATTTCATTAACAATTTTCCTGATTTCATTAACAGCAAGGCAAGACACCCACACTGCTGGGTAACATCACTCAGGTGTTTCAGCATTTGTTTCCTAGAAGGATCACAGCAGGAATTAAAATGAAACTCACTTGACTTCACAGGTATGGATGCTTAACTCTTTGTGGAGGAGTCCACTTGTGAGGTGAAACACCAGGACAGAGCCATTGCTTGTACCTATAAAAATTGAAAAAAAAAAAATAGGCACACATATTACCCTTTTCTTCCACGCTTTACTGAAAATGCAGGATTTACAGCTATTTCTTTCTCTCTCTCTCTTTCTCTCTTATTTTTAGATACCTGTAATAATTAATATCTTACAATCATACAAAAAACATGTGAATTTATAGCACTTAAATCCCAAATATTAAACCTTCTGTAGCCACTGATATCCCCTTGGATCCATCAACGAAATGTTTTAACTGTTATCCATACCTGTAATAATTAATATCTTACAATCATACAAAAACTATGTGAATTTCTAGCACTTAAATCCCAAATATTAAACCCTCTGTAGCCATTGATATCCCCTTGGATCAAGACATTTTCCCAAACCTTTTTGTAAAGGCTGTAGAAAATCTGATTATTCTTCTTGCATTTCCACAACACACCCACCCAGCTGAAGAAGAAAGGAATGTTTCTTTTTACTTTGATTACTGGGGATGAGTAAATGCATCAACGAAATGTTTTAACCCAACAATGCCAGGGGAGAATCCTGGGTAGATTTTATGGAATCATTAAAGCAATTCTGCTTTCTCATCCTGAAATAATGACTTTTTTCGAATTAGAAATCAGTAACCTATTAGCTTTCAGCTTCCATTACATCAAAAATCTTCTGAAATACTGAAACTTACAATTTCCCATTAGACACTTCATTATATTCATATAAACTCTATGAAATACAATAATGGATACCTAAAGAGCCATTCAGGTATGTTAAGTCTAAAAAGACCTTGCTGTAAATGCACTTTACACCTACTTACTTTCTAATCTTTATATTTCACCTTTTCTAACAGTTGCAGCTCATGGAAAACCACAAGTTACATTTTAGCAGCATCACATCATGTCATGATGGACTGCCTATGGTTTGGAGCACAACTCTGAAAGAGGATGCCAGAAAAATCAGCTTTAAATAGGGAAAATTCTGAGTTAATACATCAGGTGCACACTGGCAACTATTCTAATAGCTGGATGAGTTAACTACATTTGTGGTAAGACAGAAAAGATTTATCAAGCAAAAATAACATGCTGCAAGTGTAATTTTAGAAATTCATATCAGAGCAAAAATAAAGTCTCGGTGAAGTTCACTTGCTTGTTGTAGGAATGCAGGGCTGCAGAAGTGCCTATTTCCTGACATTCAGAAAGAAGTGGGAGCAACACATATGCTGAGTGTATCAGCAGACCAATATCACAGTAAATACCAGGATAAATAAAAACTTGCTACTATATTGCATTTTGCAGGTAGCATTGCTTAAACCCAAGGCAAGAAAAAAGAACCCAAGGACTCACAGAAGCAAAGCAATACAGGGGTCACTATCTGCAATAAATTACACAGCAGCAACAGATAGATTTATTTTTCTGTACCAACAACTATATTTGAATTTAATACAGGATCTGTCCTTTTCAGAGCAATGAACAACCTGCTGAAGGCACTCACCAACAGCAAGGATGGGCTCATACTGTTTGATGTTTTTGGTTGTGAGGGGTGGGCACATGCGGATGGCGAAGGGAGGCAGAGGCAGCCCTGACAGAAGTCCTGTCAGCAGGAATTTGAGGTGCACTTCCTGCAGTAATGAATTCCTTAGCTCTTCTCCAGTGCTTGCAGCCTGCCCTGCTTAAAAGTGAAAGCTCTTGTTAGCATGAAATTTTAAATGGAGATGTTATATAAAGTTCTCAGACAGAAATTTTTATAATGAAAAATTACAAACGATGTATAAGACACATTTCTTCCTCTTGAGCTTGGCATGATGAAACTTTTCTGAAGACTGGTTGCTGTTTAGAGTTCACAAAGAAGGAATGTGTCAGATAAATAGGCTTCTAAGATTAGTAACAAAAAAATCAATGTGTTTTGTCCAAATTCCATTTTAAAATATGTTTTTTCCTCAAGAAAAATCAGAACATTAGTCCTCAACATAAAAATCCTCAAGAGGATTCATTTGATAATTTCTTTAGAAACAGGCATTCTTCTATTTTGGAGTTACTATTAGAAAATAATCCTAAAAAATACCTCAAGTTCTTAAGTAAGGTAAGATGTACAATGATTCTAAACCATGAGAAGTTAGTAGCAGTGGTATCAATGAAAGAAATTCTTACCAATCATGTTGTCTAATGAGAGGTCTGGAAGTTTATTTTGGAATGTTCCTACAGGGATTCCACAGAAGGAGACTGGGGAATACAGAGGTGAAGCACTGGAACTGCTGCAAAAGAAATGGGAACAAGTTCCTCATGCAGGCACCATCTCCATCCCCAAGGGACCCAAACTGCCCCTGCAGCCTTGGCAGCTGTGTCCTGCTGGGCTGGGGCAGCTCTGTGTCATCAGCAAAGAGCACAGACCTACCTGGCTCCTGTAATGTTACATTTTTCCTGACAAAGATAAATATTTTAGAAATAACCCTTAAGAATAGAAGAAGTAAAAACCAATTTAGATTTTAAACATCTTTCCTGGATACGTAGCACAAGGAATCCATCTAGCACTATTTTTGGGAACACTAAGAATAAAAACACTAAATCTCTGATGAGCAACGAGGATCTATGTTGAAAACCTGGTACTACTGACTTTAAAAGAATTCTATTTTTTTTTATGGCATTAAGTTATTTATTTTATTCCACAGTACTTTGAAGGCTTATTGCAGCAGAACAACCTTAATACATTGACTGTTCCAACCACTGTATCACCTCACACAGTATTTTAAGACTGCTCCAAATCTAAAATTCTAAAGGCTCTGTGTATAAAAACATTTTTTATACCACCATATTCCAGTCACCTACTGTGCAGCTTCATATTGCTCAGTGTCAAATTCGCACAAATCCGGCAGAAAGCCATTCCTCTACTAAAAGTGTAGTTCTTTACAGACTCATTTTGGTCCTTACATGTGACTGAAAGTGAAGGATTCATTCCTAAGGGAAATTATATAGTCTGAAGAAAGCCAAATGAGAGGAAAATGCTCCCGCAAAATAAAACAAATAGTCATTCTATCTTTTGTTTTCTTAGTCCAGACACTGAGGGTGGAACTGCCTTAAAAAGAAAAAGTAAATACAGTTCCTGCACTTTCTCAATCTGGAAGACACAATTTGTTCCTTCTCCTTCACTCACACACATGTAGAGCACATGAAACACTTCCAGTCACAGAAGGATCATTGTTGCCCTTAAAATACAATGAAATACAGAACACCACTTGGAACTTTGGTAAGGAAAGTAAATCCCATTACCTGTTGCGCACATTCCTGCCAGAAATGTTGGATTTTAATTCCCAGATCATCACCCTGCCATCACTGACTATGAGAGCTGCAGCATTCTCATTCACTGGGCAGCACACCATGCTGAAGGGTCGAACTGTTTTGGTCACCCTGATGGCATCACACTGACTTCTTAAATCATAAACCAGCTCCTGAGCTGGCTCTGGATCTGCAACACCAACAGCCCACAGAGAACACACTGAGTGAAAAACATGGAATGGGAGCAATCAGCAGAGGGAAATGTGAATTATTAAACTTTTGTCTGACTGAGCATGTGCATGGCAGCATGCAAAGTGCGTGGCTGAGCACTTTGACTGAAATCCATGTGCTTCCTGTGCAACAATCAGGAAAAGCAACCAAAAACAACACACTCTTGATCTTGCTGTACACAACAAAGCTCTGGAAAATTCTCCAAAATGTAACTTTGTCTTTGTAATATATTATTCCGTATGAATCTCAAAACAGCTAAAACAATAACTGTTTCACAGCTGGGCAGAGCCTGCTCTCCACAATCCAAAAACTCCAGGTTTATTGGTGAAGTTGGAAGCCAGTAATGTAGCTCATTAGAAACTAGCAAACTGCCCAAACCAAAATGAACAAACAGAACTCACGATTTTTTCCCTTTTTTTCAGCCTCCACCAGTAGATTTAAAAGACCATTCTTAATAACATTTCATGAGACAAAAGATTAATAATTCAGATTTTAATCTAAATTTAAGCCCACATCTTAGGCCTAAAATCAATCTTTCCAATTGACCAAATTACTTCCAAAATCTTGTGTTTGCCTAAAGACTGTCTTTTTCTTACAGATAAGAAAACCACACTAATATTTTATTTAAAACATTATTGTGTATGTGACTGTTAAGCCACTTACTAGTTTAAGTATTATTCAGCAATAAAAGGATATTCAGGATATTATTATAATTAATATAATCAATATAATCTATTTCCAGGGAATTCAAAAGCTTTTTGAATTCATTTTCGCAATTTGTTTTGGGAAAATACAGCATAAATTTACATTTAAATTCAACATATAAGAGACAAAACACTAGAAGAGCACTAGATTCACCATCCTGTATGAGGCCTGATGGTCATTATTGGTGTTAAATTATTAATTAAAATGCATCAAAGTTCATTTCTGGACATTTTTGACACCAAACTCACCTGGCTCCTCATTTGGAGTTGCAGTGATGCTGCAGTTGGATCTGCGAACCCTCAACGTGATACAACCATTTTCATGCAGGCAAAATAACCCATCCCTCTGAAAACAAGGGATTACCTGGGCAAAGAGATTGCTGTCAGATTGCATATACAAAATCTCACCCCTTGCAAAGGACACTTGCAAGGGAGCCCACAATTCCTGATGTTTGAGCAAACCATAAAAAATGTTACCATTAAGGCAACATTTCCATTAATTTCTTCAGCTACAGGATTTGTGACTAAGAAAGTCAATTAACTGGAAAAAATAATTGAAAAAATTGAAATCTACCTCACCTGTATGAAAGGCACTCCTGTCCTTTCAATGGCAATCACACCCACTGTCTGATTCACTTCCAAGTCAAGAATCAGAATTTCCCTGGGATACAGTAAGAGCATGTAGTTTCTTTTGGAAGGCAAATATGACAACTGAAGACAGTCGTTGAGTGTTACAGATTCAGCACTGTCAAATCAGACATGAACTTGTATCAGATTGTGTCAAAAAACAGATCAAATACAAAATAAAATTAAAAGTTTCATTTTTCCCACAACTGCATTTTTCCAAGTAACCTATATTTTGAGCACAAGGCAACTGCAGATTTCCATTTCTCTGTCAGAGCAGTGCAAAGCACCACTGACTTCCAAAAACGCATTCTGTTGACTTTTTGTCTAAATACTTCCATTTCTCTGTCAGAGCAGTGCAAAGCACCACTGATCCAAAACCACAATCTGTTGACTTTTTATCTGAATAAGATTACAGAGTAATTTTAACAATTGCACTTCATTCAAATGGAACAAGTGTAATTCCTGCACTTCTCAAATCCAAAGCAATTCCCTTAGGAACAGCACTGGCTGCCCTGACATTTACTGCCATTCATGGGAAATTACCCTCATACACAGTGCTTACCTCAATTTCATATGTTGTGTGTATTACCTTACAGCCTTTAACCTCAGCACATTGACAACATCAAGCACACAAAGCATTATCTGAGAAGAAGTATTTGCAACCTACCTTGGCTTTTCATTACTGATTAGGATTTTGACTTTATCAAGGGCCTTTTTGGCCCCTGTAGCAGCAGCCAGCTTGTTGTGAGAAGGACTGGAATGAGGACTGGAGATGTAAACTTTCTTCCCTGAGCTGGCAGGAGCTTTGGAAGGGGAGAAGTCAGAGATGAACACTATTCCTTCACTGGTGAGCACTGAACCAAGAAAGAAACATAGCATAATTCAGCCTGCAATTTGATTGTGGCATTCCATTTTAATGATATTTTGGTGAGGAGAAATGCTAATAACTTTGCTAATACTGTATCAGATAGAAAACTCATAATTCTAGACAACCAGCACTTTCTAACTGAAAGAGCAGCAGATGATCCATTAAAATCAATTAATATCAAAACCTCTCAATTTTTATATTAAAAACTACTGTATTTCTGGCAGAAGCTCAGTTATTCTCTCTCACCAACTGGTTTTCTTTAAGATTCACAATGCAAATAGAAGACACACACTGACTGTACCACCATTTTTTTTCTTAAGCAGAGCATTGCTCAAATAATCATTAATTCACATTATTTTTATTGCAGCACAAAGCTCAGCTGTACAGCTGAAGTGTTTATAGAAGGTTGAATGATATGGCAGATTAAAAAAATCCCCAAACTACAAAGGCTGCAAACTGCACTGTCTCATTACAAGTCAAGTGATGAAGCCCAATTCAAGAATAAAATGATGACTCTCCTATTTCTCTGTTTCTTTCTGCTAAAATTAATAAATCTGCACTACATCCCCCTTGATATCTGGATCACTTCTGGTACTGATCTCACTCTGAGTCCTCTAAAATCCTTTCTGTTAAAAATAACATTTATTCTTGGTCTACTTATCTTACTGGCTTCTCCCTCAGCACCCATCCCTTTTTAGCCTTTTACATTTCACAGGGCTCTCTATCCTTGGCTTCCTCCAGCTCCCTCTACACACTTGACATTTCCTTTTGTAAAGTCTCAAACTTTTCAGATCTTTAACTTCTCCCCTCATGCCTGCTTTCCCCCTTCCTGCAGAGCAGCACCTTCTGAACTAAGATTCCACACTCCAAAGGCTCCCTGTCTTTGCTTTCTGACTTCTTATTGACATTTCTGATATTATTCTCTCCAATCCATTACTTTTAATTTCAACATTTACATTCCAGTTTAAACAATTTTCTTGCTCACACATATCCAGGCCCCACTGTTTTACACATATAAACTTACAAGCTAAATGTGAGGGATCAAAGGGGTCAAATGAAAAAGACAGGATATTTTCAGCATAACTTTTCTTCCAAAGTTTGGTGCCTGTGTCTGCATTCCACAGTACAATATAATTTGGTGGGTGAACTGCAAGCAGTAAATCTCTGGAAGCATCTTGATTCCACAGCCACTGCATGTCTGTCAAAAGAAATAGGGAACAAAATTAATATTCGGGATGGCATCAGTTTGGACCTGGACACAAATATCTTCTTCACTCTAAAACCTTTCAATCAGTCTTAAGAATAAAATGAAACAGAGTGTAACACTCAGCTCTTTCAGAGCTGGTAAGAGCTTTCCCTGGTTTGACAGAAAATAAAAGGCTCCATTTGGTCCAAAAAGCTGTAGAAATCCTCAAATTGACTGCTCAGAACTTCTTTAAACCTTCAGTAAATCAGTGTCAGAAGTAAATAAAACCCAATTTAGAATGCACACAAAAACAAAAAGTAATAAAACTAAAACGAACTGTAAGCCAATAAACAAATTTTCAGTGGCTCAGTATCCAATTTAAAATGCTGCATTTTCTTTCACAGGATTTATAAAACAGAACAATAACAAAAACCAAACAACTTAATTTTATAAGAGGACTTTATATAATGGATTTTAAAAGCACACCAGGTATATCATAAACATCATCACAAATTTTTAGAATAGCTGAAATACCCCAAAAAAACCCAACTCCAGCTGAAGAGCAGGAAGATGTACTTGACATAGTAAATATTATTATTTCAATCAGTAATGTTCATAAAAATAGAATCAAATTTCATTTTTGTCACAAGAACTTGGAAAACATCACCATAATGAATTAAATCTCACAGCATTCCTCTGGGGGACAGTAAATCTTCCATTTACACATAAAATGAACAAGGAAACATACAGAGGGCTAGTAATCCCAACAGGAAAATTCCCTGTCAGAACTGAGCACAGTTTATAAAAGGCAGGTGATGGATTTGTACACAATGCTCCATAAAACAACTCCCATATAACCACCAGGAACTATCATTACCTTGGATGGGCTTTGAGTGCTCCTGGATTTCACAGCGAGCTGTTCCTGTTGCCACATCCCACACAATGATTTTCCCCGTGGCATCAGCAGAAGCCAAACGTAAGGAATATGGAGAGCCAATATTGTGGTGGTAATTTTCCTTAGCCCATTTAACCTGAGAATACAGATGGGAATTGGTTGAAGGAAACAAATGGATGGCACAGACACCATAGCTCATATTTTTCAGATAATGAACTCAATAAAAATGCACAATAATAGTTAATGCCAACAGCACTTGTTAATACATTTAAGCCACCATCACTTGTGTAAATCTAACGTAGGTCAGCACTGTGCTGCATGATGGCATGGCTAATATTCTCAAATTACCTAAATCAACAACACTTGTTCCTGAAGGTAACTACAACAATCCAAACATATACATCATGTATATAAAGAATTTACTCAAATATTTAGAGGAAACCAATGGCAATGTTTAAGGTCCTGTGGGCACCCACAAACCTAAACCCACAGACTTCCAATCAAATGAAAGCTGAAAAATTATCATTAAATTTTTATACACATTCTAAAACATGCAATTTTCCTAATCTGACAAATATACTGTGGTATTCGTGAGGAAGGAAGGTTAGTCTTTAATTTATGTGTTGTCTCATAAGAAAACAAAAACAAGTTATTGCTGACATTTGCTACCTCTTTGGTTATTTTCAGCACATTGTCACCGCTGATTTCAGGTACCACTTTCCAGTTTGGGATTTCAAGCTGTACAGGTTTGTAAATTGGCAATACTTACAAGACATTTGCATCTTGAAATCTGAAACACTCTGTCTACAACTCCTCTCAGATTACAAGGGGAGGGATAACACTGACTTCTTCCTTATCTACCCCACATGTTTTTTGCTATCTGCTTTTAAGGTGAACTTCTCCCCAGGAGGGACTGCAGGCGCTGGCAGAATAAAGAAACATTCGTGCTAAGCTGATTCACCTGCTACAAAAATTCCAGCCTGTGTGCTGTCACTGCCTGTCACAGAAAGGGTGAGGAAGACACAGGACTTTCTGCAGATCCTGAAAATGTGACACTTAAAAACTGATACAGGACTGTCATTGGGCACCACTAACTTTGCACCACGAACCAGATTTACAGCAGCATTCAGAGCCCTGCTGGCACCTTTGTGCTGCCCCTCTCAGAGGTGTGAGAAGGATGTCTCACAAACCAGCTGAATAAATGAAACAAATGTGACACACGCACAGCACACGATCTTAACTCTATAAAGCCAAAGTATGCTTCTACCAGAATCACAAAGAATTCTTGAGAGACTCTCCTCTACCTACAAATTTCATTTTTGCAATTCCTGCTTCCCTGCTGTTCAAGAAAGAACTGCCCCTGAGGATATCTGCAGGTGGCCGTGTAACTGTAATTGTAAAAACCTACAAAGCTAGTTATTTCTCAGTTAAATGCATATTACTTCAAAGCAAATTTCAAGTCTGGCAAACATCCTTTCTCAAGGGAGGAACTGTCACCAAGCTCAAAACAACAAAAAAGGAGATCTTTACATGACCAGCCCTAAGCAGAGCCCACGTGGTGCTCCCACACCCTGAACCTCTTTCCTCTCTGCAGTCACACTGATCCAACAAGTCCCCACACAGGACCTGACCACCTGCTAACAGAAATTATTTTCTAACAGTATTAGTCACTGTCTACTTGGCTTCAAAATACAGCAGAATCAAGAAGCAGAGGTGACTTTTCTTTTAATTTTCACAATTCTTACCCCCTCATTTATAAAGACTTATTATCACTGTTTATTAATGCATCAAAAAGGTCACAAACGTCCTTTTTATGCTCTCATTCTTGTGATGGATCAAAAAACTTCTCTTGTAATTAGATTTTCTTCCATAAAAGCATGCTTTCAATACTCTTTGTAAAGGTAAAATCAGATATAATCCACTCCATACAAAGTATTCAGTCCCATACAAACAGCTTTTGGACAGATGGACAACTAACATGGACCCATTTTCAGGGAAGCTTTTACCTACTCCAGACAAAGTTACAACAGTCAAGGGAGAGGATGCATTTTAAAGGAGAACAGCAAAACACCTCATAAATTAGGCATTTTCTTACAGTCTACTTCTGTTCATAAAGCTTCAGGTAGTGGCTTTGAAAAATTAACTCACAAATTTTTGGACTTCAGCACTTCTGTTCCTGTTGAAATAATGTAACTTCTCAAAGCTAGTGAATGTAACAAAACTTATTAAAATGCTATCACTGCATGGATCAAAAACTAATTTTGCTACAATTTGTTATCTAAGATAAGCAAAAATGTTAAAGCAGAAGACACATTCAACCATTTTCTTCTACTACAAAAAGATCCCACTAAAAAGCCCCCTATCTAAGACCCTATAATTCTTCATAAATTATTGACAGCCTTCTAATAAATGCAGCACTTGTGCCAAGGACAAACACATCTGCCAGCCAAACAATCCTCTAAACCCTAAGTGAATCTGTCATTGTCCAACCTGATCCACACTCACCCAAAGTCAAACTCTGCAATTTCAAGTCAAGGACCTTCAAAGGAAAGCACAGGTACCCTGAACTTAAACTAAAATTTTAGCCATTGTATATCACTAAAAGAAATGCTCAGTTTTGCCTGCTATTGCTCCTTTTCTATAGGTAAGAAAAGAAGGAAAAGCTTAGAAGTAACTTTTTGGACAAATGGTGCACTTCTCACAAGAGGGAGGATCAGAAAGGGCAGCAACAAAGAGCTTCATTTGATATTTTGTAATGTTCCTTTGAAATCCTCTTATGTTAACAGCTTTCCTAGAAACATGTTCTGTAACAGTAACAAATGTTTCCAGATATTCTATCTTTTATATTCTATATTTTCTAGAAAGAGATACCATCAACCTCAACTCAAATTTCAGCATGCATGATGTGACTTAGCTGCAGAAGAGATCACATAAAATACATGTATTTCACATCAGATTTCATGTCAAAATCACGTGAAACATCATGTCAGTATTTACAGTGATTTAGAAGGATAACATAAACACCAGAACCAAGCAATACACCATAAACCAGGAATGTCTCACCTTGACAACACTGGCTTTGTGTCTTTCCAAAACCTGCAAGGTCTGAGCAGAGTTGGCATCCACTACGAGCACGAGGGAATGGCATCCATAGGCAATCAAACCCTGCCAGCCCCTGGGAGAGCACAGAGCATCATCAACAAGGAAAACACATCAAAACCTCCTCACATCGGGAATGAGGGGCTTTTTTGGTAAGTTGAATGCATACTATCAGTCACCCTATTTGATGTTTATCAGATGGTAAATACTATTTAGTAACATAAAAGCTTTATAAAATAATACTGCACTGTCTGCTGGAGCCCTAAGCCACCACAAAGCATCTCTTTGTGTCCATCTCAGAATCTTTTTCTCTAACCTGAAAAAATCACATAGGAAATCAGGAAGAACGTTCCCAAATTTTACATGTAAGAACACGGACAAGAAATGCATTTGCAATGATATAACTAATTACATATCTTTTTTATTGATTACTTATTTATAGACAAAAAAGGAGCAAGTCAAGAGTTATTAAAGTAATGGTGAAAATCTGCTGAGGCTTGTCTGACTTCAGAAGAAGTTAACCACAAAATGTCTGGGTTGGAAGGGACCTTAAATCCCACCCAGTGCCACCCCTGCCATGGCAGGGACACCTTCCACTGTCCCAGGCTGCTCCAAACTCCATCCAACCTGGTTTTGAACACTTCCAGGGATCCAGGGGCAGCCACAGCTTCTCTGGGCACCCTGTGCCAGAGCTCAGCACCCACACAGGGAACAATTCCTCCCTGGTATCTAACCTCAGCCTACTCTGCATCAATGGGCACCGGTATGTCACTGCCGGCAGGGGCTGGGGACGCTCTGGGCACGGCTGTGTCCCTGCCCCGGGCCGGACAGCAGCACTCCCGGCCTCTCCGGGGCCGGATCCATCGCTCGCCCGGCCGCGATTCCCGCCGCTGCTCGGGGCTCTGCGGAGGCAGCACCGGGGCAGAGCCGAGCCCGACCCGTGGCTGCGGCCAAGGGACCGCGGGGGGACCCGGGACCCCCCGCCCGCCCGGCCCGGCCCGGCCCGGCCCGGCCCTCACCAGTCCGCCGCGCCCCGGTTGGGCGCGCTCAGGGCGCCCGTCCTCGGCGCCGCCGCCGCTCCCCGCTCCGCCGGGGCCCCGCGGCCCGGGAACGGCAGTTCCGCCGCCCTGCCCTGGCCTGGCCTGGCCTGGCCTGGCTCGGCCGGGCTGGGCGGTGTCCGGGGCCAGATGCGGGTCTCAGAGCGGTTCGGGTTGGCAGGGACCTCTGGAGATCATCCCGGGGCAGGTGGCTCAGGAACGCGTCCAGGTGGGCTTGGAATGTCCTCAGGGAAGGAGATTCCCCGCGCTCCCTGTGCAGCTGTTCCAGGTCTCTGCCGCCTTCAATGTGAAGGATTCTTCCTCATGCTGAGCTGGAACTTGTTGTGTTTGAGTTTTTGGCCGTCGCTCCTTATGCTGTCGCTACCACTGAAGAGTCTGGCACCATCTTCTGACACCCCTCAGAGATATTTAAACGCATTGCTGAGATCAACTCTCATTCTGTAGCCCAAAGATTCCCTCAGTCTCTCCTCATCAGAGAGATGCTCCAGACCCCTCATCATCTTTGTGGCTGGACCATCTCAGCAGCTTCGTGGCTTGCACTTTGGAACCCAGGAGCTGGCACAGAAGGGTTCCGCAGATCTGCCACCCCTGGACACGGTGCGGCTGTGCCGGTTGTAAATCCATGCCAGGGAGGGGGAAGGAGCCGAGGGATGCCAGAGGCTCCAGCTCCAGGGATGCTCGTGCTCCTTGTCAGCCTGGGACACCTCACAGGGAAAAGGGCTCCCTGTCCTGTCTCCAGCTGCAGGACAGCCAGAACATTTGTTTTTTCAGCTTAGTGATTTCTGCTCCAAAGTACCTCTTCAGTTACAAAACACAGTGACAGGCCTCTTTGGTACCCCCAGGAGCAGCAGTAGCGCACGTTTCACCAAAAGGCACCAACCCATCCTCCAACTGTCCCCAAGCTGTCACTCAGGCCAGGTAAAGCCACCTGGCATGACACATCCCTGTGCAGCAGCACTGACATTTGCACTGGAGCTCAACAGGCTGCAGAGCATTGCGGTCAGACTCAATAATCCCAAAGGTCTTTTCCAACCTGATTGTGTGATTCTGTGAAGCTTCTAAACCAATTTTCTGTGCATTAATAAGATAACAAGAATTATGTACTTGCAAGCTCATTATTTAATGTACATGGGCTGTTGGGGTGTTTGTTTCTCTTCGGAATAATAATTGTAATTGTTTATTTGTGACATTTTGTGGAGAAAAAGATGCCACTAGATGGCCAGAGATGGCAAGAATGTCATGCCAGCTACCCACTCTTACATTGCTGCAGTGTCACTTAGTCACAGAAGATGCAGTAATGCTGATCCTCTTTCCCCCTCTTTTCATTCTAATCACAATTGACTTTCTGCAAGTGGGAACTCAAGAAACAACCTGCAGCTGATGCCTTTTCTAACTGTCTTCTAAAGAATTCTGCTCTTGAAGCACAGAACATCACTCACTGCCACTTTCAGGTCACCACTGTCTCACCCCAAAAGATATCTCTCTACTTTTAAAACTGAAAATACCTCTTTGGAGAAGTAAAGAGCTTTTTTGTTCCCTTTTCTTTGTCAGTATTTGAGGAGTACATGATCTGCACCTCTGGAGATCAATTTTGTAAGAGCCTGAGCAGCTACTAGCTTCATTAATTTTAGTTATTTTTGCTAATGGCATGTTTTTACTCTGTGTCCTTGGGCAACATTCTGCTGTTCATGTTTTTGGTTATTTTCTTGCTTTTTTGGATTTGTGAGAAGGGCCTTTTGCAACTTTTATTGCGCAATAGAAACAGAAGCTTATCTTGACAGTTTTCTATCCATTTTCTTGACATCCAAAAACCAAGCAATGAGTGAAATGCCTAAAGGAAATAGATACTTCAAGGTAGTTGAAGATAAGGACAGATACCAGAAAAAGGGAAGCAAAAGAGGAAATGAGGGCTGTGTGACCAAGTGGTTAGAAAAAAAAAAAAAGAATCTGAGTGGTTTTCAGGGTCAGATAGGGTGAAAATCAGGGTGCATGAGCCAGGTGAATACATACTGAAGATTCATCAGAGAGATAGGGAGGAGATGAGGAAAAGGTTTGTGAACAATGATAAAGATCATTGGAAGAGCTGAAAGGAATAGAAATGTGCACTGGATGAACTGATTCCACTTCTGATCCACAGCTTCTCACCCACACTGAGTACTCAAACTGATGCACAGCAAATGGATGTGAAATAAAGATGTTCAGAGATGTTAACTTCTTTTTTTGGGGGGCTTAACTGGATGTCCTCTTTCACATCTTATTGTTAATTTAAACCACTGCCAAGCAAGAATGCAAAATACATCAAGGCACTTTGTTCTCTCACTCTTCTGTAAATATAACAATAGAATTTTGGCTGCTCTAAAAAAAGAAAATACCTAGCTTTCAGCTGTTTAAATGCATAAAATGCCATTAAACCCACTGAAACCTCTCAAGTATCCAAGATGTGATACCCAGTGGGAGAGACTTCATTCCAGACAGCTCCAATAGTTCTCACTAAGGAGATATAGAGAATAAAGTTCTGGGTGATCATAAAAACCATTTAAATAAGTTAATGATTAAATAAATAATGAGCAGTATGATTCCACATAGCTTTTGGCTCATGGCTGTAAATGATTTTTCGGTGAGTTTGAACAAGACAAAGTGGGACTGAAGCAGAGACGTGTGCAGTCTCCCTTTTAGGCTTCTCCTTTACATAGTAATTATTGCAGGAATATTCCTGTGAAAGCTTCTGGGACCTCTTTGATTTCCATGGCCTTAAGTTAGAGCTGCAGGAGCTCCTGGGATCCACTGGTGAACTTTGGATCCACGTTGCATTCCTTTGTACAAACGCCAGTTTGGGATGGGGGTGTGTAAGAACCCCCACGTGCTATGGGGCAGGGCTCTCTTTGCATTGCAGATTGCACTGCTCTTGCCTTGGTGCTGTCATTTCTGCTCTGTGCATTTAAAGCTCCTTGAGTTTTCTGCTGGTTAAGTGTCCTTGCTTAAAAGGAGGCTGACCAAAAACTGATATCATCCTTTCTTATCAGAGGTTTTGCACAGAGCATGAGATTTGCACAGTTGAATTTGGGTTTTTTGGGTTTTTTCCTTTTTCCTTTTTTTTTTTTTTTTTCCAAGGGGAATATATCTAAAGTCAAGATTCGTTTAATCACAGTCTAACTTCATAATCCCAATAGAGATCTTTTTATTTCATGTTGTATTTTCAGAAGAAGATTAAATAAAAAGTATTGATGAAGGAGATTCTATTCCTGGTGTGTCAGAGTCCTGCTAAATTTAACACAAAAATAAAACCAATATATGAATTTCAGAGTGTGGAATATTTAGCTTCTAGAACTCTATCAGCTTGATGCAAAACCAGATGGCTTTAATCAAAGACTCAAACACTTGTCTCCCTTTCCAAATGCTTTCAACTTCAAAGTTTAAAATTATAAACCTCCCTCCAAGTGAGCATGGTCTAATCCAGTTCCACTGAACCTGCTGGAAATGTAAATGTGAATTCTCAAAGGTGAACTATGAAGACACTCTGACTGCCTGCAGTCTCATTTTGTTTTGACCAAGTTTCACCAAAGGAAAAATTTCTCAAATGCTGTTGTGGGTTTTTTTCTGAAAATATTTTCCTTCCCCTTATATATTTCTCTTTTTCTAAGGGTCCAAAAGATGCTGAAGTGTAGAATTATTTTATTCACATATTGAATTGAATAATAGTGCCAGTTTTGGGCCATTTCTTTCTAATTTCATCCATGACTGCTGTAGCACAATCACTGAGGAGCCCTGGCCCTCACATTTTTTTCTGGTCCTTTCTTTGAATATTCCTGCAGATGAATATTTACCCACCTCCCTGAAATACATTAACTGAGTGAAAAATCTCTGGAGAAATAGTACAGAAAAAAGGACAGAGATCTAGGAGAGGTCTGATCCCATATGGACACAAAGATTGAACAGAAATGCCAATCCCAGATGTCAGCATCCAGGACAGATTTGATTGATTTGGACCTGGGGACCAAAAACTGGGGACGTTCCTAAGGAGAAATCAGAATTTCCACTAGAAAAACCCTGAGGTTTTTTAGTGGTGATTATTCCTGGAGTTCAGACTCTGGCTCTGACTTTAGGAAAGCATGGAGGGGTGCCAGGAGCTGTGATCGAACAAATGGGTTAAAGGGGAGCATTTTTAAAGTATTTCAGAGCTTTGGAAGCATCCTAGCAACCTGAGAGAGCATTTGGTTATTATTTTATTAGGTACCAAGTAGGGACTTTGGTTTTTCTTTTTCTATTTTTTGGTTTTTTTAGGGTTTTTTTTTTTGTGTTTTTGTTTTTTTGTTTTTGTTTTTTTGGGGTTTTTTTGTAGCTATTAAGTAATTTATCAGCATTATGCTGTAAGATACAGGATGAGAGCAACAGTGGTATGAAATTGGGATTTGAAATCTGTGTGAAACAATGCAGGATACTCAACACTGATTAATCAATCAGTGCTCCTGACAACATGAGGTTCCATGACATAAATTTTTAAAGAGGAAGAAGTCTCTAAGACAGGCTTCCTGAAAAAAATAATGGAAAATGAAGTAAAAACTGATTTTAAGAGCCGTCAGCAACTCCATGACTACAGCTAATGAAAATGTGAACACAGTAATTTACTGAGTTTGATAAAGTGCATATTGAGAAATAGAAGTGTTCTCATGTATATTGCATATTAAAAGGATGGAAAAAGTTTTAATCCATGTTATTAATGTTATGGGTTGTGCAGGGTTTTATAAACTAAATTAAAAAATTCAAATGTCCAGAAACCATGGTAACCGTGTATATATATCCAGTAAAGTGTTATTAATTTCTGCATGTTATATAACCTACACATTAATATTTAAGGTTGGATGCATCCCAGAAATAATTCTTATGAGAGCATAAACCTTAATTATTTTATGATGTATAATATTTTCATTAAATGGCTTTCACATTCTAATATGGGAAAATCCATATTAGGACTTGTTTGTATCCTATGTCCAATGGAGTTTGGGAGTCAAAGCGTGGCCCTGCTTCAAGGCTCAGGATGGAAGACACACATGGAAAGTAAATGTGTAGAATTCAGTATGCAGCAGAACAATCTGCATGTGGGCAGTAAAAAACCAGCCTGGCATATCAGCCACTTGAACCCCAACAATTCCTTCACCAGTGCCTCTCTCCACAAAATGGGGGAATTCTGTGCTCTGTGGTTTATGAGGCAGTGGAACTTTGAGTCTCTGATAAGCTCAAGGGACACTGAAGATGCTTAAATCCTGGCTTGATAAAACAATATAAAGTATCAGATAAAATGCTAGGATGACCTGTGAAAGACAAAATCCTGTAAAGACAAGGAGCATTAGCAGGGTGACAGTGACATTAAAGCAAGTTTCTGCTCACCACATTTGCTGTTTCTCCAGAGCTCCTGGGCTGTCAGTGGTTCCTGTGGCTGCCCAGGTGATGGATGCATTCCCACAGTCCCTCTGAGAAGCAGCAGGTAGCTGTTTCTGAGCAGGCATCACATATTCAGTGTTTAAAAAAGCTTTATCATTACTCTTTTTTACTAATAAAATATATTTTAAGAGCGTTACACAATGTTTTTGCTGTGGGATTTGAGTTCTTTGGTGGAATGTATTGCTCTTTTTTGTAAAGCATCCTGAAAAATGCCCTGATTTCTTTGATATACTTACATAGCTTAGGTGGAGGGCCTGAGTCTAGCAGGTAAACAGGAGCAAAAAGTAGAAGTTCTAGGAAAATTCCATAATTATGATGCACAAAACTTGCTTTCCATCTCAGCACAGTGATGACCTGTGACTTCCCTCTAGCTGTGCATGATTTCTTTTTCCTCTGGAGTAATTATAAATTGATCACAGGCAGGAAGAAAAGATGCAGTTTTTGG